GCACCACTCCCGGCCTGAAAAAAATGCAAAACGGATCGGATCACTTCCAGACAGTCGCGCGATGTAGACAGATGTACAGATAGACAGATGGACCAGTTAACATGGACCAACAATCTCACCAGTGTTGAAGGATAACCACGGTTGCCTTTTTTGCAATACATGCGTTCCTGTCTTCCGTCTTTGAATTATTGCAAGTGCGAACTGAGCAAAACAAAATCCTTACTGTACGGGAGAAACCGTACTACCATTCAGCCCCGTAACATTCTTTCCATAGGGGAAACTTTGGTCGCTATGAATAAATACATTAATGACCCGGAGAGGGCATATGCCACCCAATTTTCTCAATTTATGTCGAACCATGAACTCTACAAACCATTTCAGTCTGGCTTCAGAACACACCACAGGACTGAGATAGCAGTCATCAGAATCACAAGTGACCTCTTCTTACCTGCCAAGACACATCACTATACTCATTATCATTGACCTACTGCTTTCAATGCCTCATCAAGGCAAAAGAAAACTACCTAAGTCTGTTGATGTCTGGCAGCATATGAAATCCTACTCCAGTAATAGGCATACTTGTCCTTGCGTCCCTTGTAAGACATAATATAATTCTTAAGTTATTATTATTAGCAGTAGTAGCAGAAGTCAGAGTAGAAATTGCAGTAGGGGTAGCAGTACAAGTAGCATTGTTATTATATTTACAAATCACTGATGGTGTAGTGGTACATTCGCCTGACTTTAGTGCAGGCGGCGTGGCTTCAGTTCTCATTCAGTAATGGTGTCAGTTTGAGTGTGATTGGCCGTCTGACTCCATACATGCCCTGCAACTGACTGGCAACCAGCCCATGGTTTTAGAGGAGCGCCAGGCCATCTCTTGGAGTTGTTGGAGCAGTGTATGTTCAAAGAGCCATGTTAGCAGAAGAATGGCTAGTGGTAGCACTCATCCGATAGCTGGCTTGATGATGAGCAGCAGATTGATTGGAAGACTCGAGTTGAGACCTTGCAGGCGAAGGTTCCTGCTGCTATTGACACCCCAGAAAGTAGGATGGAATTTAATTTATATATTTATTGTTGAAAAAAAGGACCTTCAAGAAATATATGGGTGGGAAACAAACTCTTAAAAGGAATGATGACCAAGCCATGAACACTGAACAATTGCAGTAAGCATAAAGTAATGGCTACGAGCAATTGCTTGAAAGTACACCTCTCTATTAAAAGAACACGTTTGAGTAAGTTGTTTGTACTTTTGACATTCTGGAAATAATTTATTAGGTCAGTACAAATGTATAGTATTTGGACTTCAAACTAAAGCAATCAAAAGTTAGATGATGCATTTTGAATTACGAGTTTGGTTCACTGACACTGAACACAGTTAATTTTAACATCAGCCATATTCGTGTGTTACGTTCTTTTTTCTTCTCTCGTATGTCACAAAAAAATTCTAAAATATATTTCTTGGGAGGACCTGGTAGTTCTTCAGGTGCACATGTACACACTGCGACCCCCCCCCCCCACACACACACACACAAATGTGCCAATACACTGTTGAGACACCTAGGCATTACTGTTTGAAGCTTTGTGATCTCCCTGTGCTTTCTGATGCTGTCATTTCAGTGCATGTCTGTGTAGAATTCACATACAACTGAAGTGAACTAAATCAAATGACTTTGTTTGCAAGCGGCTCAAAGTGGTCTTGGCCTGCTTATTTATTACACACTTGTGTTTGGATGGAGGTAATGGGAAATAAACAATACAAATTGATCAGCCACACCAGTTTGTGTGTACCTTCGGGTTGTTTTATATTTCTGCAGAATGAAAAAAACATTTTCAAGTTGATTCCGCTTTCATGATGTGTTACTTAAGGTTCAAATTGGAACCATGTTTAATTAAGTTAATTTATTCGGCATCCAATTAAGTACACAGGAACATTTCAATTAGGCAGAATTCTCCCTGAGAGACCGGCTTCATTGCTATCTGCACTCCAACAACAAATTAATTTGACCTCATAAAATTAGGCAACACTAAAACCATTCAACTTGAAGATAGGTTGAATTTTATGCTGTAGTAGGTTTTATCCCATCATTTTGATTCAATACATTGACTGCAGTGTGAGTCATTTGACCAATGAGTGATTTCCCGCAAAAAAAAAAATTATATATATATTTCAATTGTTTTTTTTTTTTTTTTTTAATAATTTTGCTGCCTCTGGCATACATTTAGCAAGTGCATTGCCCTTTCACCTGAAATTAAATTTCTTCCAGGATGTGGTATTTCATCAGAGCATCCGCAGGCTACAAATTTGATTTCCCTCCGTTCGTTGGTTTTAATTGTTGTTCATCAGGAAAGTTAACAGGATCGTGAGTGAAAAGATCCAATATCTGCAGAGTTCTGTTTAATCTGGTGAAAACAGTTCTGTCACACAAAAATACACTGGTGACTGATGATTTAGGCTGTGCTAATGTACAAACCTAATTCCAATGAAGTTGTGACAATGTGTAAAACATAAATAAAATCAGGTACCCACCTGTTCCCAGTACCCACCTGTGTGATGTTCTAATCTTTCTTTTTTGCAGCCTGTCCCAGCTATTTTGGAACAAGCTGCAGTCATAAAATTTAACATTAATGATTATTTGCTAAAGACAATAACGTGTAGCAGCTTGAACATTAAATATCCTGTATTTTTGGTGCATTCCATTAAATATAGGTTGAATATGATTTGCAAACCATTGGATTCTGTTTTTATTTATTTTCAACATCCCCACTTCATTGGAATGGGGTTTGTAAAAAGTGATTACTGTACCTTTAATGCATAAAAGTACTTGTGAACAGTGAGTTGGCTTCACTACTGTGCTTTGCTGTACTGTTCTGGGTTCTGTAATGTGATTACAGCCTTATAATTCCTCGAGGAAGCACGGAAGAATTTTCAGCTCCATGGTGTCTTAAATTGTAGCAAACAATCGGAATTGGAGAGTACACTAACATAAACAAAGAAAGCGTGCTGCAATATTCCAAGTAAGAGGGGTTCGATCTGGTTCAAAGCCAGCACGACAAAAGACACAGTTCCTCTTAAATCTGAAGTTCAACTCCCAAAGGGCCCTCTTCTCCATTTTTTTCCGACTGTTGCTTGAAAGTGGTGTATTTTCAGTCAGCCTCGCTGTCAAGTCATGGGCGAAGAAATTCGGTATGAGTTGGGTTTTATACAGTCTAACCCATAACCACATTTACAGCATGTTAACCGCACTGGTGCATGAGACTGGCTTGCTCAGCAACAAATTTTCAGAAATAGGAGGCTTCCACACTGAATGGCTCAGCAGGTGATCCAGTGATCCAACTATTTGTATACATGGGTTTAAAATACAAATTTTCCTCAATAGATGCGCTTTAAGTACAGTGTTGATTTTTGCCATCAGACTGACATGCAGGCATGGATGAGATAATCGCCAGGCCTATGTAATATGGAATGTTATGTGGTTTTTGTAATACATGCAAATGAATGGTTAGCTGGTAAAATGTTGAGCAGCCAGTGCAGAGTCCCAAACCCCCCAGGCTTACATAATATATCTCTCTTTTTTTCAGGAAAATCAAATATGTGAAGACAGTCTTATCCCTTCCTCCATCTTCTTCCAAGTCATATAGAGATAAAACCAAGAAACACAAACAGTCTGAGCTAGCCCACAACCCTGAGAGAGAGAGAGTGTGCGAGACCACTGTGACTCACTGTTTGCGTGACTGTTTTCTTTTTGTGTGCTTGCCTATTTACATGTACATTTGTATGAATCTGTGTATAGGTGCATTTGTATCTGTTTGTGTTGTTGTTACAGCGTGTTAATTTGACTTTGCAGTCAGATGACAGTGCCACTGTACAATATGACGCTCAAATGTGCCAAGTGTGGAGTTATCTCGTCGGCTGACGTTTCCGCCACAGCTACCAGTAACGCCATGTTAGTTCCGCTAATTATTTTTCCTTAACTCTTCTTGCTTCTATCTTCTCCTCAACCTTTCTTGTTCTCCCTCAATTGATTGATTCTGTTTTCATTATCCGACTCTCATTTATTTATTTTTTTTGTCAAACTTAGCAGTATATACATCCAAATTCAGAATATGTATTTGCCCCTCCAACAGTACTGGAACAGTGGCCCAAAATATTTTCTAGTGCTGACACTTTGAAACATCTGGTTTGACATCAAAAGCTGAATATGAGACAAGAGGTCAACATTGAGCTTTTATTAACTGGAATTTTGTTTGTAACAAAATAGATTTTTTTTTTTTATGTGAGCCAAAAGAATGGAACAGACTTACAATAAGTTAAAATAAAGCAGACTTGAATCATATTTTTGCTTGCAATACCTGTGTCAGGTAAATTAAAACCACCACACTTGGCATTCTACTTTGGTGCAAGTTTTAAGTCCAGGCTTTTGACACTGCTGTTTTTTTTGCGGGGTGTTCCTTCAGTACTGTACCCTCTTTTACTGTTCACCTCATGCTCTGCAGCAGGGGTGTGCCGATTGTGTTGTTCGCGATCGACCAGTATCCCGCTAAGGGGGTGGAGGTCCATTGCATGACTTTCCCCTCAATCACTACGAGCCCTCTCTGTTTTATGCTATTGATATAACTGCCTGTCAACCGCAGTGAATGAGTAAAAAAAAAGTAGACTCCTTCCTTTTTTGCGTTGTGAAAATTGTGGGGCTGGGTTGGAGGGGGGGCGGTGAGAGTCACAATTCTTGGTAAATGTACATGATAAGAGTAGTAACAACCCACATGTTTTTTTTTCCTAATCATGTGTTGGATCACATGTTAAAAATGGGTTGTTATAAATCTCTCTGTGTACCCCGTTTCAGGTTTTCATCGACCCCTTTCTGGTTTTCATCTTGGTGACACCTCAAACTCGTATAAATGTAATCCCCCCAAAAAATTAAAAAAAAAAAAACTAATCTGAAACTAATCACGGACATTCAGAACTAGTTATTGTTTCTGCAATCAGTGTAGTACAGTGACATCTTACATTACTTTTGCTCACATAAAAAAAACATTGGTGAGGTCCAACAAAAGGTGCAGTCTTTCAACTTGTCTATCCTATTCAGACACAGAATGCCTGGAAGTAAGATCTGAAATGATGAGTTCTTGTCTCATATTTATTGTTGGATGTCGAACCTAAATCTTTCATTTAATAATATTCATTATAAACAAAATAAAAATAAAAAGGTACTGGCCTAAGTGTTAGATTTTTAATATTTGTTTAAGGGGAATCAAGTTTGGATTTGAAAAATGATTTTATGTGTGTGTTTTATGGTGACAAACACATTCATAATCTGTAAACAACAGATTTTATAAAATTTTCAGTGCATTTCATGTACATATGAATATATGTGTGTATACAGTATACATGTTTATGTACAGTGTATACCGTGTGTGCACTGAAAAGAAGCTTTTCGGTTGCACATTATTAAAATGTGTTCAACTAATGTATATCATTTCTTTATTTTTGAGGAGAACACAGGAACATTGCACAGGTTTACCACAATTTAATCATGTGCAACCGATGTACATGTTCGAATGAAGTAAATCCAGAGGATCTTTTTTTTTCCTTCCCAATTTGTTCGCGTGCAGGTGTGAGTGTGTGCATGTGTGGTTGTTGGTGTGTATTTTATTTTTAACTGCATGATCTAATGTTGCTGTGTTGGAACAAAGGACTGAAAGTGTCCCGCTATGCCATAATCCCCATCTTATATATCTATTTATAACAATTACAATGAAAACTGTGTGCTTTGTGTATTTGTGTTTTTAAAAAAGTGTGCATATACATATATATATATATATATATATATATATAT